GAGGAGAGGAAAACAACTTCATGCTAAAATCTACACTACAACATCATGAAAATAAAAATATAACAATAAAAGAAATCTAACTACTATGTACATGAAAACAAAACAAAAAGGACTCTTGTCAATCCGACCTCAATTCTGATATGAGCTTACGCCCATTGAATTTTTTTTTATTTTAAAATTTTTTTGTTGTATAAATGTCTTTCCTACCCAATCTATCTAACAATAAAAAAAGATAATGATTCAAAATTCTTAACAAAATAGAGGTACACACAAGTTTATGAAATTCTGACAATGGAGTATACAATTTCTCTTTATAAATTTCTCCACTTAACTCTATTTTAATGTCCTCCCCAAATTGAAAATTGTGAACCTCAACACCACTCTTTGATGGCAAATTGACCTTGAGCTTATTAGTCTCATATGAGATAATAACTTCATTAAATGTTTCACAATCAAGAGTGATGGGAGATTCAACATCAATTTTCATTCCATAAAAATGATCATCCTCAATACATTGACTATGCTCAAGATGTTGTTCTTCACAATTAGTAATTATGACATCAGTCAATGCAATAAGTTCATTTCTAATTTTAGAAAATTGTTGGGCTATTTGGACATTAACCTCCATTTGGTATAGTATGAACTCGCAAAGAGTATTTTTCAATTCTTTAGTCCTCATATGTTGGATAGTGGCAAAATTTATTTGGTGGTGTGAGATCAGAGGAAAAATTATAAAATTCGTTCTCCCAACCATAACTCGGATAACTCGTTGCAACATAATGGTTGGGGTAAAAATTTTCGGGGCCCAATATTGAAATTGATCCTTCACATGTAAAGTCCTGAACTGTATAATTTAATGGGCACTCACTAGTGATGTGCTCATACTCATCACAAATCTCGCACACATTTTCAAAATTTGGGGCCTTTAGCACATTTTCATAAAAATTAGAAAAAATTACATAAAACACAAACTATTTACAATTGAGACGACATACCTTGCCCGTGATGAAAATCACGAGACTTACCTATGCCATCCCAAATCACCTTTGAAAACATGACACTTAGCCTTCCCTAGCAACGATGCCAAAAATACTTGTATTGTTTTCCCTAATCTCTAAACATAGTTGAGTGTTTATGGCTTATACGAGTTGGTGAGTGTCACTCTCCCTAGGATTCAAATGCAAGAAATGGGAAAAATTGTGTGTGTGAACAAAAACGGGTGTGTGCGCGAAAGTGCTCCCCAAGTGTAGAGAGACTTGCAATGTCGTTTTTTACATAGAATGGGTATTCCAAGGTCGTCTCTTTAGGGAAGAAAATGTCAAATGATTTGAAGGGTGATTTGTAAAGAAATGAAAATTGGAAAGTCTTGTGAGTTGTGTTTTGGTGAGTTGTGTTTTGAGAAAAATGTAAGAAAGCAAGGTTGGCTAATCCATAGAGGTTATTCCAATGGGAATGCAAAATCAACTCAATTCATTCAATCAACGGTGTCTCGGTGTTTGATTAATTTATAGGAAGTGAGGGACTAATGTGGATGTGTTAGGCAAAAGTATATCTTGTGATAAGTCTACGGTGTATCAAGAGCCCACAACCACGTCCGCACTCAATCTAGTCAAACCAAACAATTTATACGATGAGGAAAAATAAAAGAGAGTTGATTTCACATAACCAAGAGGAAATTTCCCTTGGATTAGCCAACTAAAAGTCTAGCTACTCATAGTAAAGGCAAGAACAAACATAATGTAAAGAGACATGGTAATAAAATGAAGCATGAAACTTGTATTGATGCAAGAAAAGGTATAAACTATAAGAGTAAAATCATTTATAACCAAAATACAAAGCTTGAAGTGAAAATACCCAATTGTAGAAATGGAAAAGCAAGAACACTTAACTAAGCTTGATTACAAATTAAATAAAAGAGTTTAGAGTGAAATAGGGAAAGAATACAAGTAAAATAAAGCTTACTACAATGAAAATGATGAAGGAAATATAAAAACTCAACTTTCTCTCTCTACAACTTCATCTTCAAGCTTGGAGCTTCTCTCTCTAAAAGCATGTGAAATATGAACAATGATGTAAGACCCTTCAAAAAAATTTCATACCCTCATCCTTAGCCTATGTGAACTGAGTTGCAATGAGTGGGGAGAGATTGGAAAGTTCAGTCCAAGCATGGTCTTCCCTTGCTTCACCAACCACCCCTCTTTTCTCTTTCGCTTCAAATCTGAATTTAAGGGTTATGAGAGCATCATGGGGTGTCAAATATGTCAGGGTATGGTTTGGATGACAAGAGGTAGGCCCCTGGAGTAGGTGGAGTCATCTAAGCAAGTGTCTAGCAAATCTGGGAAAAATCTACTAGTAGAACGTCAAGAATCTATCGATAGTTATTTTTCGGTAGGGTATTCTACTGGAAGATTTTGCATGTCTTCTACCTGTAGGTCTTGCATGTCTTCTACCCGTTGGGCTTGAATGTCTTCTACCAATAGGTCTTTTCGTAAATTTGTCATAACTTTTGCTCCCACCGTCCGATTGAGCTATAATTTTGACACAAGATAGAGGACATCCAGATGTACAACTTTCATGTTTTTTAATTTTTCAGATTTGAAGTGGATCATGGTAAAAAATTAGGGAATACCAAGGTACTGATACCTCCTTGATTTCTTTCACTTTCAAGCCTCCAAATCCTCATGTAATGTGTCCATCTCTTCACCACTCATCCACTTTTATTTGCTAGGTTCCAAAAGCTATCAATTATTCTATGATTACCTACAACATCAAATTTTTCACATTATTCACAAAATCAACTCACTCTAAGTAATTAAATGCAAAGTTGAGTTAAAATGCATGTAATGAGGCCATTAAATATGCAATATTATGCGCTCATCATTGAGTCATCAATTATGGAAGGTTCTCTACAAGTCTAGGCACATGAGAGAAAGAGACTATGATTACAGTCATGGCCGAAAAATGTAACTTTAGCGATTATAGGCAACCCCCTATAAATATAGAAGGAAGAACTACAAAGAGGGGATCCTTGATCAAACGCACAACCCTACACAAAGCTAGTCTCTTCCTTACTTAAGTTTATCATCTTCATTTTTTCTTTACTCTATAATCATCACTTCGGTGAGCTTTCTTTCTAGTTAATGTCAAGTAAAGCAGTTTGCACAGCTCTCTTTGATGTTCATTTTATTACTTTCAGTTCTAGTACCTTTCTCAAATTTTAGTTCATTAATTTGCTACAATAGAAATTATTTCAGTCCTTGATCTCCAAGGTAGAAAAAAGAATCTAGAAGTAATTTTTCACTTTGTTATAGTCACTTGAATAGACACAATTTTAGAACCTCACGCCTGTTCGAGAAAGTAAGGTCATAAGTGTCTAGATTTTATGTTCGTTCGGACTTTGGCACACCCACAATCATCAAATCTGCCAAATAGATTGGAAGATCCTTATATACTTTCACCCAAAAAAAATTCTCAGTAAATCATTCATCACCTTGTTGAATCAGGCACGTATTGAATTTGAATCAAGTAAAATGTATAGGTTTTTCAAAAAAAAGGGTACATTTTAGCAATCTCCTAGGACAATCTGCGAAAATGAACATATGAACAGGTATTTTTTGTTGATCTTCACCAAGACTTTTGTATAAGGTACCTATTATTACTATACAAAAAATATATCAAAAATATAATTAACTTTGTGATCTTTCCTACAATTCATTTTTGTTAATGGAGTGCAAAATGGGTACTAGAGTATCAATTTCGTGCTGCATTGACAAAAAAATGGGTCAAAAATACGAAACAAATAATGTGACACTGATGTGATGAGTAGAATTTGAATTTTAAATGAGTTACAATATGACTGAAGCACTACTGTGCCAATGACACATCATTTGGCCGTTATTTTGTATCACTTCTTTTTGTTTGATTAGCATTATTTGGTTAATTTGTAATATTGTGATATTTTTGTTACGCATAACAAGCCCCTAAACGATGAAAACAAGTACAAGAGACCAGTTGAAAAACTAAACAAAATATCGGAGACTGTAAAGTTTACACCATGCAGATCAAGCAAATTACCGAAAAGCTCGAGATGCCTCATCATCTAGCAGATGTTTTTTTTTTTCCTTTTTGACAAAGAAAAGACCTCTCGAGGTTCGTTGTGAGATCACCTTGGGGTTTAATGGAAATTTAAGCTCTGTTGTTTTAATATAATACCTGATGAACGTTTGCAATCTTTAGAGAAATATACTACATTCCGCTTCACCAAATCACGAATATGCTAAGCTTTTTCCTTCTGAGCAAAATGTTGTCTGCTGTTTCCACACAAGCTTTAAAAAAAAAACATAAAGTCTTCATTTTAGAAAAGATGCAGGAATTACGTTTGCCATTCTGCTTGAATCCAATTTTGAACTTAATTAGCAATTTTGCTCATCCTGATATAATCATTCGTCAATAAGATCCATATAGGCCACGCATTAAATCGCAAATGACAGTAAAAGACAAAAAAAAAAAACAGATTGGCTGATTATGGAGGTTATTTTGTACATCTGACACAACAACCTCGCCTCCAGCCTGGAATAAATTGTACACGTGAGAACTAGTATTCTGTACATTACTAACTAGCATCAAATATGCAATGAATGAGGGCTGGAAAATTGCTGTCCATTGCAATTAATTCCTATATCATGTGCACCAAATCAGATGTAATTTTCCTTAAAAAACATCATGTATTCTCTAACATGCGATATGATCAATCTTAACGTTCGATTCAGTCAATCTTCAAATGGTTGAATTGAGACATTATATTTTGAGATTCCACGTTTCCTGTCTATAGAGAGTTTCAGCGTTTCTTGTCCATGGCTCACTATTATGGAATGCGACACCAACGCTTGTTTAACCTTCCATATTATGATATGCAGCTCTCTGTTTAGATCTATAAATTCTTCAATACCGAGGCTTTCTACATCTCATCCTCTATTAAACTTTCTGTCTAAACCAGTGCCATGGCGGTTAGTTTCAAATTCCTCTTTGTCTTCTCAACGTTGTCATTATTTTTCCTCATTCAACTCCCAATTTCTTTTGTTGAAGCCAGCAATGGTGGCTTCAGTGTTGATCTCATACACCGTAGTTCTCCGCTTTCTCCATTCTACGACCCGTCACATACCCGATTGGACCACCTCAACGATGCATTTCGTCGTTCGGTCGCTCGTACAGCTCTTTTTAATCCAACCTCCAAATCTGAAGGCTCAATCCAATCACAACTGACAGCTACCGCTGGAGCATATCTAATGAAGGTGTCCATTGGGACACCACCTGTGGAAACAATTGGAATTGCTGATACAGGCAGTGATCTTACATGGACTCAGTGCAGTCCTTGTACAGGATGCTACAAGCAAGAAGCTCCTTTCTTTGATCCCAAAACATCTTCCACTTACAGAAATTTATCATGTCACTCTGAAGCATGTGAAGCTGTGGGCACTTCCAGCTGCAGAAACAACAATTGTCAATACAGAATGTCCTATGGAGACAAGTCCTACAGCATTGGTGAAATTGCGGCAGAAACATTCACCTTTGGATCGACATCGGGGCAAGCAATTTCAATTCCCAAGGTTGTTTTCGGATGCGGGCACAACAATGGAGGAAACTTCAAGGATACTGCATCTGGTATAATAGGCCTCAGTGGCAGTACCCTCTCAATAGTTAACCAACTGAAAAAATCAGTTGGTGGAAAATTTTCCTATTGCCTGGTGCCCTTAGATTCCAATCGAAATGTGACCAGCAAGATAAATTTCGGTAGCAAAGCTATGGTTTCGGGTTCCGGGGTGGTTTCAACTCCCATGATCACAAAAGCTCCTGAATACTTCTACTACCTTACGTTGGATAGCATCACTGTTGGAAACAAAAGCTTGGCGTACAAGACTTCAGTGACGTCCAAAGAGGTCGCTGCTGTTGAGGCTGAGGGGGGTAACATTATCATCGACTCGGGGACTACTTTAACTTTTCTTCCAAGTGATTTTTATGAAGATCTAGAATCAGCACTTAAACAAGCCATTAGTGCTGACACCACTCCCGACCAACAAGGACTTCTTAGCCTTTGTTACAAAAGTGAAGGAGATATTGATTTGCCCACAATCACTTTCCATTTCACAGAGGCCGACTTGGAATTACAAGCGTCTAGCACATTTATAAAAGTGCAAGATGATGTTGTCTGTTTGGCAATGATCCCCAATGATGAACTGGCGATCTTCGGAAACTTATCCCAGATGAACTTTTTGATTGGTTACGACCTTGTAAACAAGAAGATTTCCTTCAAGCCAACTGATTGCACCAAGCAGTAGTAGAAAATATTTCATGTTTATGCGAAATAATATATTTATTAGTAAGTAGTACTTTCCTTTAGTCATAAGATTGAACGTTAACGTTAATTTTACAGACTCATAACACAAATCTTGATTTTCATGGGTGCAAGTAATTTAAGCATCATATTATGTTATTTACTATGACAGTTCTTAAATAATGTGGGAAGTGTTGCTTCATGTGTTTGCTAAAGATGGTCTTGTTGCCTTGTTATGATAAAATCGATTCTCAACGACTGTCAATAGTAGAGGGTAAGACTATTCTCACCCCTTAAATCTCAATATCCACCCATTTAAATTTGGTGTCATCAAATCTACTTTACCCACCCCATTCTTCGCACCACCATTAAGTTACTAATCTCATCCCATTTTACACCTGCCTACTCATTAAAAGGAAAAAAAAATTCTCTCAACCCTTTTTCCATGAAACAAGATGTTTTTTGTTTGATGTTTAGGTTGAGTTGTCAAAGTAAAGATTCTTTTAATTAAAGTTGTGAAAAACCCAAATTGAATATTCAAAAAAAAAAACTCAAGAACATTAATTAGAAAAAATTCTATTGTTTATCTAAGCGGTGAATTCAATAATACAATTTTGTTTTCCTTTTATGCATTTATTTTGTTCATTCTATGGATAGTTTAGGCCAATTTTTTCAAAAAATTCTTCTTATGGGCATATGGTTTCCCACCTCTCTCTCTCCATTTGTTTTGCTATGATATTCTCACATATAATTTACTTTCTTAAACTTATTACAACTATCCTAAATACCAAAAGGTACATTGAAAGGGCGTAGGATGACTGCACATGATTAGACAGGTTGATAGAGCCGCGTGTCCCAATACACATGGTTAGCACTTGGAGAATTAAAGGTGGGGACTGAAGGCGGTCGGCCAAGCAAAGCAAAAGGTGCAAGGACCACAAGACCGAGTTGTGAGATTAATCGAGCTCAAGATAAGGCCGAACAAAAGAAAGGACTAGGATCCTGTCCGAGGTCCGCCTATGGCAGTGATATCTAGGTAGTCCTGATAATTCAAGGATAATGCCTAATTGTCAAGGAAGCCACTTAAAAGATTGGGACAGACATTAAACACGTGACATAAATTGTGACGTCCTAAAAAGCGGGGGTCCTTAATTTAATAAAATTCGGGCAGAGTCTTATTCGTACGAAAAATTCTTCCAAAAACACAACATGTACATCATACAATCATATGACCCATCCGAAATCCAATATACAACATTGATCATATCGGGTTTATTTATCCATACTCCTACATCATGAATTTATGCATTAAACATAGTTAATACAAGTTCAAAGTTATAATTCTTTTACATACATTATATGCCCAAAACATAGTTTTAACAAAAGTTTTATAAAAACTAAGGTTAAAGGCCACAAGTCGACCTCTCTTCACCCTTGAGGCTCCAAGTGAGAGCCGTTCACGTGTGTATATCCCGCACCTGAAATATTTTCTCGAATAGTGTGAGCTGCACTGAATAGAGTATTTTCTACAGAGACTACTCTCCACCCTAGATGCATATGAATGTGCACATATAACAATCAACAACTATTATCCATTCTAAACAAAAACATGTAATTCTATGTTGAAATTTTACCATGTCATGTCATGAAATGAGATGAAACTCACTCACGCATTTTAACTCGAGTCCTCATCGACTCCCGCAATACAATGCAATGCCAATGTGTAGAAAATCTGTCGTTGATGAATTTCATCCGATGATCATTTTGTAATAAAAGTCATGTGTTTGTAAAATCGAATCATTGTTGGATGTTACACATCGAATGACTTTTTATAAAACAAAATCATGTGTCTTTGTCGAGAAACGGAGTTCTTGGAATCGCACCGTTGGTTCCGCAAACCGTTACACTTTTCTGGAATTTCACCGCTGTCAAGTGTATGAACTAAGTGGCCAGGTTTTGCACCCGAGAGAGAGTCTAGTCCTGCTTGCTATACCCGACACAAGTTTTCTTTTTCATGCTGCCATGCGACTTAGTCGAATTTTTAACCCAACTTTCCCGAGTCCACCCATCAATCACCAAGTATAGTGTTTGATCACACCATGCACACACACCCATTCAATGCGATGTCTCTGTGCAAATGCAATGTAATGAACCATTTCAAAACAATATCAAGTCACATATGTAATGAATGTCATATGGATCAATTAAACCACATACTTCAACATATGTTATGGTAATTTATATCTAATATATATAATTACCACAATTTATCATGATGTTAGTATACTAACCCAAATATCAATTACCTTTTTCTCAAGCATGTCATACATAAATTATGCCATAACAAGTTTAATTCTCACATAGGCATTTAGCAAAACACCTTTAAGGCACCAATCATGTTATCACATAACCTATGTAAATAACTCATTTCTTTCACAAGGCACAATATAACCCATAGCATGCCCACACAATACCAAGCTCCAAGAATTGTCACATGGAACTTCACTTATCAATTTCAAACTAGAAATTGATTAAATCATTTCTACACCTACTCCATAACCATAGGCAAGTGAAATATATAGTTCCATATACCTACGCATTTCCATTAAACCAACTATAATAGGAACATTTTAAAATACACAAAATAGCCCACATAAACCCAATTTCTAAGAGTTTACATCATTAGCTTCCACATATCAAATTTAAGTTAGAGGTTGGTCTAAGCCATTTCTATACCCAATTCCTCATTTTCATAACAAGAGGCAAGTGACATGTATAGTTCCATATACCTATCCATTTCATATGGACCCATAGGTTAGAAATAAACTAAAGTAGGAGGGAACCCTACCCCTTGGAGCTTAAATTGAATAGTAGAACCTTCAAGAACACCAACCAAGCCCAAAACTCTTGATTTCTCCAAATCTCCTCTTTGGATCTTTGGTCAAATTCCTCATTTTTGGTGTGGTTGCATAGCTCTCGTCGCATAGATAAAGTTTAATTCTTGGTCCAACGAATTCTGATCGATGGAACTTCGTAGATCGGAGGAAAAAGCCTTGAAATCTATCTTTTTTTTTCTCTCCTTTCTCTCTTCTATTCCAACGTGTGAGAGGCTGAACAATGGAGATATTTCTCCAAAAAATCTGATTTTAGTTTATATTTATAGTCTCAAATGTGCGGTCCACGTCACACCGCATATTTTCTACTTTCGAATCCGTTTTTCGTCTCGAAACGATTCATTTCATCCTGGTTAAAGTTCAAATTAATTTTATTTGAACTTTATTTCAATTATAAGAAAATTTTAAAATTTCTATTTTTGGGGACCTTTTTGAGGTCATTCGACACAGTCGTCTCGTAAAACAAGAAAAATCTAACTATCTAGCAATTCGACGAAAATTGATAAGGTAACTCGATTTCGCGATACAAATCCAACGGTGAGATTTGTTGTGTCATCCAAGCTCTAGAAAAATATGAATTTCAAATTCACATTATAGTAACAAATTACTGTTTTACCCTTTTTCAAAAAAAAATCAATTTTACGCGGGTTTTACACAAATGAAAGAGGAATCCAGAGGACATTGTGGTGTCAATCCAAAAGTATCCGACTAAACGATAGGTGTTCCACCTAACATAGCCAACTATGGAAACCCCAATAGAAATGGAAACATGTGACACTATAAAGACTCAGGAATGCTACAGTCAAAGGTACACACTTCTTCCCTAATATTCGACCTATTTACTACAGAAACCTGTACTAACTTAAGAATCAGAGTGCTTTCGACTAGTCCAACCCCTGTTTCTGGCAGTTTGTTTGTTTTGCAAGAAAAGTAGTGCAATCCAAGTTTATGTTTTCTCAATCAAACTCTAAACACTAAGGTGAGAGGTTTACTACTCTTACAATTGACGTCGTTTGTGGGAATAACTGAACAAAAACGACCATGTCGAAACTACAGAGCATGATTGGGTCACCAAACATTGCTTAAGTTGTTTTCCCTTACTTCCCACACGAACCTTATTATGTATATGGCTTATAATGAAGGGTGAGTGTCACTCTCACTCAAGCTCATGCAAGATGCAAGAAATTATGTGTGGATGAAAAAAAAACGTATGTGAATATGCAAAAATGGTCCCCAAGCCTAGAGAGACTTATATTGTCGTGTTTTACTTGGAATTGTATTCCAAGGCCGTCTCCTCAGGAAAGGAAAGGCCAAGTGTTTTTGAAAGTGATTTGTGAAAGGGAAAAATGAAAAACATTATGATTTGAAGTTTGGTGGTTTGTGTGTTTGAGAAATATGCAAGTAGAAAAAGTTCATTTCAATGGGTATGTCAAATCAATTCATTCCATTATACCAATGGTGCCTAGGTGTTTGATTGATTCATAAGAAGTGAGCGATGAATGTGGTTGCTTGGACAAGAACATATCCCATGACAAGTCTACGGTGTATAAAAAGCCTGCAACCACATCCATCTACACTCAACCTAATCAAACCAAACACTTTACACTACAAGGAAAAATGAAAGAGAATTGATTCCACTTACCCAAGGAAAAATCCCTCTTGGATTAGCCAACTAAAGGTTTAGCTACACATGATAAAGGCAAGAATAAACATGAAAGTGAAAAACATTGTAATGAAATCAAACTTGAACTTGTATTAATGTAAGAAAGAGTTTAGACTACAAAGGAAATGACATTCATACTTAAGATGTAGATCTTAAAGAGAAAAATGCCCAAATGCAAAATAGAACTAGAAAACCTTAGCCAAACTCAATACAACTTCAAATAAATGAGACTAATGTGCTAGAAAGAAGGATTACATGTAGATTGAAGCTTACAAGAATGAAAATGATGAAGAAAAATGTAAAAACCTAGTTTTCTCTCTCTAGAACCATCTTCTTCTTTTTCCGTGGACCTTTTTTCTCTCTAAAATTTCTTCAATGTCAATAATAATCCTCATTTTTTTCCATCCTCCTCTCTTTCTCTCTTTGAGTGTGCAGAGGTCAATTGCT